GATACCTTCCACTGTTGCTACTTCCCTTCCTTTGGATGACCTTGACCTCCCTATTGCAGTCCGAAAAGGGAAACGACGTTGCACCACATCCATAGCTCACTGCATTTCCCAGTTTCTGTCCTATGATCACCTGTCTCCCTCTTACAGGTCATTTCTCACTTCCATTGTTGATATTCCTATCCCCAAAACAGTGCAAGAAGCCTTGTCAGTTCCTGAGTGGAAAGATGCAATGATGGTTGAAATGGATGCCCTTTTGAGAAACCGGTTGGATGTAGATGGGTATTTACTGTGAAACATAATGCTGATGGTTCCATTGAAAGGTACAAAGTCTAGTTGATTGCAAAAGGATTTACTTAGACTTATGGTATAGACTACTTGGAGACTTTTTCCCCAGTAGCAAAGATGACCACTATTCGAGTCATGTTAGCTCTTGCAGCAAGTTATTCTTGGCCTTTGTTCCAGATGTACATTAAAAATGCCTTTTCTGAATGGAGACTTACAAGAAAAGTCTACATGCAATTACCYCCTGGATTTTATGATGCAGAGATAGGTAAGAAGGTTTGCCGACTGAATAAGGCATTGTATGGACTAAAGCAGTCCCCTAGAGCTTGGTTTGATAGATTCAGACTAGCCCTTGAAAAATTCGGCTATGTATAGGCCCAGTCAGACCATACATTGTTCATTCCCTTGTAGTGACAGGGAATGATAATAGTGAGATTGAGTCCCTCAAACAACTCCTTCATCAAGAGTTTGAGGTGAAAGATCTTGGTGCACTGTAATACTTTTTGGGTAGTGAGATTGTTAAATCTAAACAGGGGATCTTTATTTCTCAAAGGAAGTATGTTCTAGATTTGTTAGCGGAAACTGGAAAGTTAGGTGTCAAGCCTGCAGATACACCCATTGAACAGAATCACAAGATTATTGCAAAGGGTGGAGAGCCTCTTGAAGACAAGGCTTTGTTCCAACGGTTGGTTGGAAAACTCCTATATCTTTATCTCACACGACCAGACATTAGTTATGCAGTCAATGTTGTCGGCTAGTACATGCATTCCCCTAGAACTACTCATCTTCTTGCAGTTGAGAGAATATTAGCATACTTGAAGAGATGACCAGGTAGATGTATATTGTTCAAGAATAATGATCACATGATGGTGGAGGTCTATACAGATGTTGATTGGGCTAGGAGTGCAGATGACAGGAGGTCTACCTCTGGATATTGTGCCCTTGTAGGAGGTAACATTGTCTCTTGGAAGAGTAAGAAACAAAGTATTGTTTCTCGCTCTAGTGTCGAAGCTGAATATGGATCGATGGCTAATGGAGTGGCTGAAATCCTATGGCTGAAGTCACTATTTGAAGAGTTGGGTATTGATTATGAAAAGCCCTTGATGTTGTATTGCGATAATCAGGTGGCTATTAATATAGCTCATAATCTGGTGCAGCATGACAGAACTAAACATATCGAAGTTGATTGACATTTTGTCAGAGAAAGGGTATCATCTCAAGAAGTGTGTCTCCCGTATATCACCTCCAACATGTAGCTCGCAGATCTTCTCACCAAGGCTGTTTCAAGGAAGAAGTTAGAGGTAAACCTATGCAAGTTGGGAATGACAAATATCTATTCCCAACTTGAGGGGKAGTGTAGAGAACACTGATGTGGGCCCCATGGCTGTGGTCACCACTGTGTTCGTATGGCAACACATGTAATCTTTGTTAGTTATATCAGTGTTAGTTGGTAGTTATTTCAGATAGCTTGTTATTTCAGTTTATTATTGTTTTTATTTGCCATGTAAGCATTAATGACAATTCTGCCCTTTCCTACAATTAGTGAACATAACATAGAAATATTGAGAGGGTGGCGGCGGCAGACTCATTCAATCTGTCCCTCTTTTCCTAAACCCTTGTGTACTTCTTCTTTCTTCTTTTCTTCTTCTTCTTTCCTTCTACTTTTCTCAATCTGAAACCTTTTTGGGATTCAAGACTGATTGTAGTCTTGATCGACTACTATTATAACATAGCCCAAAAGAAAGTAGCTCTTCCCACCCCTTGTTTAGCTAAAAGGTAGCTCCTCTTGGACCACTAAAACTTAATTTGCATGTTTTGAGTGAGCTGGTAAATTTTCTTTTTTTTTTCATTCAAGAATTTCCACAAACTAACATCTTCCTGTTGCAGCCAGTTAATAGCTAATCTAGAGTCACCCCCCACTAGCAACTTCCTACTATTCAACTATTTGGCTCTTTTTATTCCTTCTAATACTACTGAAATTTCAGCTCTCAAAGAATCCCCCCAACCTATAGGCCCTAAAAACATAGCCAAAACCCAACCTTCTTCGTCCCTGAACACTCCACTTATACCTAAAGGGCCTGGGTTTCCTTCGCTACTGCCATCAAAGTTCAATTTAGTGAACCACCCCGTGTTTGAGGAGAGCAAGTTGGAACATGGGAATTAATCAACTAAGCGGACCAAGCTACTTCTTTCCAATTTCTAATGATATCTCTTGTTGAGAATCCTTCAAATAGCTTCATAGACTTGACCCAGTGAATCACCCTAACATAGATTAAGTTAATGATGGATTCTTTGTTCTTTTCTTTTTCATGGAAAGTATGTTGATTCCTTTCCTCCCACCTTGTCCAGCATATACCTGCTCTTACACATCTCCACAAGATTTTACCTATTCTTTTTAAATCCCTCGCTGAAGTAGTGATAAACAAGCTTTGCACACTTGGAGGGGTGGGCCACTTGCAACCAAAGAGAGAGAAAAACCAATACCGGATTTTTTATAGAAAATAACAGAAAACTAATAAGTGATAACAATTCTCACCATTCTTCTTACGTAAGATGCACCAGTGCGAAGATAAATACCAACTTGGCCCTTTCTTTTGAAGTAGGTCACAAGTGTTACACTTTCCTAGGATAGTTTCCTAGCAAAAAGCACCTACTCTGGGAGGAATTGGTCTACTCCAAACTTCCGAAATTAGGAAAGGAAAATCAAGGGCCGATTAGGATTGGGTTAATTCCTACTGTCCAGTCTAAAGGGGTCAACAACTACCTCCTCCGGGATCTTAAGCAAACTAGAAATAGAATCCAATTCAAAGTCTCTAAGAGCCCTTCGAAAGCCCAGGTTCCAATCAGGGGCAGAATTAGAAAAGGTTAAGAAGGTAGTAACAGGATTTTTAAACCTTGATAGAGATAACATAAAGGAAACTGCTCTTTCAAAAGTGTGTCCCCCTCCCAGAGCAAAGGTCATACCTAATAAAAGGAAGGAAGGGTGGAAGAATAGCATGAATAGACTTTTGGGGAGAATCTCTTGTGTCCCTATGTTATACCCTGTGCCCCAACATCATTTTTAGCTTTAGTGACTACACCCCACCTAACTCTATGATCCCTTTTCTTCTCCCTAGGTTCCCATATGAAATCTCTCATAAGTTTCTCTAGCACCATACACACTCCCTTAGGAATTTTAAACACATATAGAAAGTAGATCGGGAGGTTCGCCAAGGTTGCTTTGATCAAAGTTATCCTACCATCCAAAGACAGATAGTTTTTCTTCCATGAAGCAAGCCTTCTTGTGAACTTCTCAATCAACGGATTCCTAAAGCCCCTTTTGCTAGGATTATCCCCTAAGGGAAGCCCCAAATTTTCGGGCCCTTTCTTCCACCTCTACAGCACTCATATTAATGCCAATCACGCAACTCTTATCAAGGTTGACTTTGAGGTTGGCCACTTGTTCAAACACATTAATCACCCATTTCAAGTTTCTAACCCACCTAATCTCATCCCCTCCACAAAATAGAATTGTGTCATCTGTAAACTGTAAATGAGTGATCGGAACCCAACTCCTCCCAACTCTCCAACCACTTACCAAACCTCTAGAGTCTGCCCTCTCAATAATCCTCCCCAAAACTTCAGCAATCAGGGTAAATCGAAAAGGGGAAAATTTCTCCGTAATTACTGCTTGATTTTTTGAGACAACCTTTTCAGTTTCAAACAAAAGCTTCACCTTTTCTCTAGAAAGAACTTCCCCTTAGTGCTGATGCGTCCATCTAGCTTTTTGTTGTTCCCACCAAGTGTTATCCATCTTGCCAAGTCATCATCGTCTTCAAGCTTTGGCCTCTTCAACTTTTGAAGCGACCCAAATCTTTAATCAGTATCCATTTGCGCAGAGGTTGATCATTATCGACACAACTTCAGCCATTATACCAATAATCTTTAAATGAACTACTCTCAAGTCTAAGGTTTTATACAAGAGCAAAACACCACCCATCGCCTCTAGAATGGTTTTCTTCCATAGGTGAAAAGGTAAGCCCAAAAGTTTCAATTTGAATCTTCCAACAATAGGAATTGTTGTGTTAGCCAACGGACACCAGTTTTCGATCACCATAGTGCCTTCTTTTGTTTCCACTGTGGTGAATTCAACCGCTTCCTCCCCAACATCTAGCAAAGCTTTCTTTTCACTGAATGGGATTAGGATAACAGTCCCAGGATGGGGTACTACCAGCAAAATTATTTAGTTACTCTTCTTCGTGGCCACTGGGGGGTGGGGGTAGCTAATGCTAGATGGCTATTTGGCAACTTGTGGTCATATGAGCCAACCTGGTAAATTTGAATAATATGGGGTCCTTGGAAAATGGCCATTAAGAAAAGGGTAAACACATAATAATAATAGACACTATTTCACCATTTGTTATCAGTTAATTCATATGAAACAGATGTTCCAATTGTAGATGATATGTTCTTTCAGATAAACTTAACCAACATCTCTAATTCCATCTTGGTAAATCTTTACAAAGGTGGTTGTTGAGGCATATATGACCATTACATGAACGAAGTTGGGCATTTTAGCCCATCAAGCCTTCACATCCACCTACATAACCTTCTTATTTGATAAATGTTCATTAAGGAGGGGGTGAACATGGTCTTATGTCTTACTTTTCCATTCAACACTTCACATCCATCTACATAAGTATATATCAAGTTGGGCATTTTAGCCCATCAAGCCAATATTGAATTATAGTTGATGTGGAATTAACAATCACGCCATTGTCAAAAACATTACAAGTGAGTAATAAATTTCATCGTCCAAAAATATTTAACCAACACCATATTAGTCCTTATGACAATTTTTTTGGTATTTACAGTAATTACTATACATAAGAATTTAGCAAAATAAATTCAACAAATCATCCCTAGTAGATATGATATGCCTGTCCAAAAAACACCGAACACGATCTTTGTTCACCATTAAGAGAGATCAAAACAAATGCTACATCTGAAAGTATGATATTGCTTTTGCATCCACCTCCATCGGGAAGAACCAAGTTTTGTAGGTAAATTGAAGCTCCCTTTCCAAATCATTTGATACATTCCATAGAGCACCATCACCTGTGACCAATAAAAATTGATTAGCATCAATATATGAGCAGGTAAAAGTAGTTCCCAATCTTTCTTTACAACTAATACAGAGAAATGAATTAATACATAATTCAGCAAGGCACAAAATAAAGTACAATAAGCATTAACTTTCATAACCTAATACTCAGTTGTTACAAACTCATACTCAACCATCACATATCCATATCTATAATATGCTTATGCAAATCCCACCTGAGATGCTTACAAACTCATACTCATACTTAACCATCACCTTCTACACCATGTTACTCTTATGTTAAAAAAAATCCTTGAGATGATACCAGATAGTTTGTAGATGGGTTGTATCTGAAACTAGTCCATAAGATGAAAGGTTAGTTGTTTGGTATTGAAGCAAATTTAGTAGATCAGCAACTTGGGCTAGTGTGAATAAAGACATGAATGTAGGGTATGCAGGTGAAAGATCTAGTTCGGGTCCCCAACTTCCAATCTGGGTCAAGTTGCGTGACCCATTCCACAAACCCCAAACCCAATTTCCAATCCTTTACAGAAATTTCACTCCAAATCTAAAAGTTTCTCAGGTAGTTTGACTTCTCTAGCAACATTGAGCTAAACACACTCATCCCAAACACTTTTTCTATTAAATTAAAAAAAAAAAAAAAAAAACAAAAACCAATCGAAGCATTATAACGGATGTAAAAGTGATCTTTGAACATTCACTTCGTAATTGCTTCGACAACCACCAACAAGTAAATATAAGAGGGGAGACTTTACTTACATATGGTAGGGATCATCAACAACAGCCTTGGGAACCAATGTTTTTGACAGAGAGAACCATTGCAATAACTAATTTTCCTCACAGAGAGAACTGAAAACATGTATCACCAACCCATTGGGATCTCCGATTTTAAAATTTGTTCAGCCATTTCCCAGCACAAGACTTTTGTGTCATCCTGTTGTAATACAATGTCAGTGTAATTATAATTGTTCGGGATCAAATTAAATAAAATATCATTATTGTATACCAAATTGAAGTCCACATTGCTTCCTCGCGACAAACATTCCATGTACATCATCAGAAATACACCACACTCGTTGCTGTAAAAAGTAATATAAGTTTAGGAAAAACTACAAAAAAACTATCAATATCACCAATAATCCAACTATTGACTAAAGGAATTGCTTGGCAAAGACGCATACCCATTTCCACCCTGAGAAGGAGCATCTTTACAAACTTGTACATTCCAAACACCTTCTATACCTAACTGGACGAGCTGAGCTTTATAATAGTTTGCCTATACCAAATGTTATTTAGTAAATAGTATTCAAAGCACTTAGTTTGTTTGTATAGGCAAAGCAGAACACACAAAGTGTATATATGACTAGTAAATGCCAGTGGTTTCCACTTTGTATTGGCAAAAATATCTTCTGGTACATATGCTCTTTCAATAAGTGTATATATGAGTCAATGTTGCAAGATTTGTCTTGTAGGATCAATTGCTGTTTCATAACGCCACAAGTGCAATATGAAAACCTAAATATTTATTGCAAGATTGAATAGGTTGTGGCTTTATTTAAGGTACCTGAGCATAAGACAACGTAGAAAAATTTATCTGGCTCATTAGCACTGTTATGTTGTTGATGTCGCTTAATCAAGAGAGCACCACATGCATTTATGACCTATAGAACAAAAAAATAAAAGAAAATAGATTAATCTTACCTATCAAAAGAGAAATAGTATTTAAATGCATAATTAAACATACATCATCATATATATGTTCACCACTTATCAAAGAATACAGATGTATCCCACTTAAATGGCTGCTTCCATCTGCCCATACAATTTCACTACATAGTAAAATTCAGTGAGTATTGATGTATAGTAAGCTGAATTAGTTGCTAAGCAATATGTATGGACAATTTCCAAAAATATATTACAAACATACCCTGTAATAGGCCGATAAAGGAATCTCTTAACTTCTTCCAAATGAGCTTTGGATGTCTTCTTTTTTTCTTGATAGTTGCACCAAAGCAGTTTGCCATCAACACACTATAGTCATAATGAATGGTTGCTCTGAGATATACCAAATCAAACAATCCCATTGGTTTAATCTTGATTAATGCATAAGTTTAGAAACCCAAACTTACTATAGTCATAATGAATGGTTGCTTTGGATATCTTCTTTTTTTTCTAGTGACAATCTCTTCCTTGGCCTCAGCTCTATGTGATGTGGAGGGCATGCAACCAGGTGGGCGTACTTGATTCTCGCACTCATTAAACCATGCCGGTGTATGTGAGCTCTAAGCCTTGCATGTAATTCTTGGTTCTCCTTAGACAAGTGTTTAACTTGTGCCTCCAACTCACCAATTCTTGAACATAGTGATTCATAAGACGGCCTATTAGAGTCCTGACCATCACGTTCCTCTACTAAGACCTTCTCTTTGTTACTTTCTGGCAGCAATACTTCAATGATCTGATTCATTTTGCACAACATTTAGTTTCATCAAATACATTTAAGTTATTAATACTGAGTATGTGAAAGAGGTGCACAAAAACCTACCTCTGATCTAAGTTGCCAACACTTTCACCATATGTTGTCTTTCGTCTAAATGTGGAACTTGCCCACTTTGCTAACCGAGGAAATTCACTACCTGTCAACTAGGACGAACAAGGATAGATAGTGGTGTACTCAAATAACCACCCCTATGACATGAAACACAATAAAGCAATTAGTGATCTGACCATAGAAATCAATAAAACCAATAAATCTATAATATGAGGAAGAAAACTTACAATTAGTACTATAGAACAACCGCACAACCACCCGGATTTGGAATCAGGCTCTTTGATCCTTGTGAATGTTAATTCATCCAAACTCTTCACTAACTCCCTATGCACCGCATCTGCTCAATCATATTCTCCCAATTGTTGTAGGTTTTCAGCAAACCTAAACCATTTTGCATCAATGATTCGACTAGTTCTCGTAAATAAAAACTGGCCCAAGATATACAACACTAGGAGATTTGCAATATAATCATGCTCTTGTTCATCCTTCGTCAATAACTCCGATGTCTTTCATTCCACATCGGTCCAGTCCAACTTGGCCCCATTGAATAAGTCTTCATGCAGATCGGTTAGTTTAGGTGCAATATACAGATCAACAAATTTGCCTTTGTTTGGCAATCCCAATATCATAGCAACATCAGTCGGTGTCAAAGGGACATGAACATCTGCTAATATAAATGACTGACTTTTCATGTCCCACCTATGTACAAGCTCAGTTAACAATGCCTTATCATTATTGTTCACATCAAGCGTATGCAATAGATGATGAAAGGGAGTTTTCTCCATTTGCTTACGAACCCTTCGATGTGTTTGGAGTTTTAGTTTAGATACAAAGGCTAAGAAATAGGTGAGGCTATTTCTACTAAATATCTGCATTTTGGAATTCAATAATTGGCTGCATGGAAAAAGAAAGAGTAATGCATCAATCAAATATCAGACACGAAAAATGAAATTTAGACATAAAACGTAAAATGAATGACCCATTGGCTAGATCTTCAACTGGAGAAACCACCATAGAGATTATATATTCTTTTAGTTGTATAGGAAATTCCGTAGCAAATATATAAATAGACAAGTAAATGATTGCAAACAACATTACTAATCAAGCCAATGGCAATTGCATCTAAACATGCCCAAAATGTAATGCTAATCCTTTGTAGTTTGCCGATGAATAAGCACAAAGTTAACAAACATTTTTTGGGTTTCTTCAGTGGAAGAAGAAGAGGATGAATAATAAGAACAATAAGGGGGGAGGAGGAGAAGAAACCGGTCGGCTGATTTACAGGGATAGGGACGCCCGCGGTGAAAAGGGTCCACCGGCGGGTGTAAATTTGTATTTCGCCATTCGGTAATCCTTTGTATTTTTCTGTGATGAATACGCACAAAGATTCAAAGATAACTAACACTTTTGGGTTTCTTCATTGGATAATAATAATAATAAGAAGAAGAAGAAGAAGAGAGTATCTATCGGTGGCCGCAGCAGCGGTAATGGCGGCGGTGGACGGGTGGATAATCCGGAGACGGAGACACGCTGTTGGTGGTGTCAAGTTGTTTGAATAGGATAGATCGATGGTTTTGCCCAATATGCTTGGTTGGGAACTAGGCAACTTGGGGTTCGAATGGACCTAGGGCCTATTTGGCCCAATTTGACATTTTTTCTCTCTTCGAGCAAAATGTGAAAATGAAAAAACCGACTGGTTATACAAAACCGTTACCGGTTCTATGGTAGACGGTAGAACCGGTCGGTCACTACTGGGTTTGGGATATATTCGGACTAGCAAGATTGCGGGTCACGGTCTAACCGGTTCAACTAGCTGGTCCAGTCCAGTTGTATCAACATTACTGAAAAATGCTATACGGGGTTAAGCGCCACCCAAAGAACAAAGGATTTTCATGGATGTATCCCATAAGTTTAGGTATGGACTAGGATTTAAGCAAGCAACTTTATTTGCTAAATAGCTATGTACTATATTAGAGTATTGGTTCAAGGGAGAGTGTTGGAGCATTCAGACTATAATTCATATGAATTATTAGTTATTTTAGAACAAGAACAAGAATAAGGAAGAATACAAGGTTTTTGTGTGAAAGTGAGCAAAAGGGGAGCTGGGCAATTTGATTCCCCAATTTCATCATGTGATAGGAAGTTGTACCCATAACTATGTGGTTATGTCATATGAGCCCAATTATGAAATTTTGAAGTGATTGAATAACATAAGGTTTGATATTTTGATAACTTAAATCCAAGATAAATTGCTAATTTAGATGATTCATATAGAGATGTGCTAGACAAAAGGTGTTGACTTGAGGACACTCTATGCATTGTGAGCTGTGACTTTAACCCTAAAGAGGGGTTAACAATGTTTTAATCCCCATCAACCTCAATCAACAAGTTCTTCTTGTTAAATTATCTTACCTACCAAAGGTAGGAGGTACAATTATTATTGGAAAAGTTTCTAATTATAATCAGACTAATATGAGATGCCAAAACATGCAAAATTGTACAAAAGCCTTTGCCCGTCCCAACTCAAATTGTAGCAAATGTGAAATATTCATTACCAGCACTATAGAAAATATTCTTGACCAAGTAAATCCCATTTCAATTCTGTTGTCATGCTTCAGGTCCTAATGTTTACAAATGGGTCTCACGTGCCAACAACTAAGGTTGGAGGGATTGGTTTTATGATAATGTATGAAGATTTGTCTTCTGTCTATACAAACAGAAGAAGAATCTATTGCAGCTCAATCTAAATGAAGGGTTGTAATTGATGATTTAATGAAAGCCAAGAGATTGAGAGTAAAACATATGATCGTTTTTTGCAATTCTACTACTATTACAGATGCAACTGTCGAAGACATGAAGGTAGGCTGGTCTATGAAGAATTTTAAAGATTCCACTCTGAATTTACTTAAATATTTTGAGTATGTATATAATATATCTAGACTATCAAATTCATATGCCCATCTACTAACTTATAATGCTTATAAGTTCAAGAATGAAGGTTCTTATGTAAGTAGTTCTGAAGTCTCAAATAGAATTCAGACTCATTTAATATAAAGTTCACTAGTTAAACACTATGAACAAGAAAGGGTCTCAATCTTTCTAACCCATACCTCAATAGCACTGCATGCCTTGATAGCAATATTGATAAGATGTAACCAAGGTGAGCATTGGCTTAGTTTTTTGGCATAGCTTCAAATTCCATCTTCATTGCCATTGAGACCTGATGGAGGGTGATTTGGCCCGACCTCGCAGCACGGGTACACGTGAGCATGACCTTGCTCAAACAGTGACTCAGCATGACAGCGCAACGAGCGTGAACACAACTCGGAGGGAAAGTCCCACCGAGTACAGCTCGGCAACTCAGCGGGTAAACTACTTGCCGGGAGCTGCCTTACCTGCACGTCCTCCCCGGGGTTAAGGGACTTCTGGATGTCCCGAGTTTGGGACATCCTAACCTCTCTTAAGGCCCGAGCTCCCCCCAATGGACCTCGGGCCACTCCCAAGCAAGAACGCACCGATCCATCTCTGGACACCCCGAGGCATGGACACCTCGGGTCAGCCAGCTCGGCATAACCTGCTACAGGCAGCTCGTCACTCAAGAGACAGCCCAGCTCAGGGTGATCCGCGGAAGGGCAGTTCGGTATACCGCAAGAAAGCTTCCTGCTCGACCGCCCTACCCGACAAATCTGTGCATAGCAGACATGTCCCTTGTCAGATAGCGCCACGCCTGTCACCTTCAGAAAGGTGTCTCGTGCCTGACAGGCACGTACCCTGCAGCGACGGCCCCGCGCGTGCCACCTCAGCCTTGCCTATAATGGTTGTGGCAGGCTGACAGTGGCGGTTATACCTACCCTATCAGTAGTCAGAGGGCCTGAAGCAATGGAATTCGGTTATAAGGGGATCATTCTCAAGGAACAAGGTATCTTCGAATCACTTGCACAACCTTCACTCCTAGCCTTCCGTTTCCCTTATCTTCTTGCACACAGTACTGACTTAATCATCGGAGCGTTCCCGTCGAGAAACCCCCCAGGAGTTCTTCCTCTTTCCTCTCGTCTCAAGTACCTCTCAGGAGACAGGTGAGTGCCAGCTAGGAGTGACCGGATCGCGCAACATCATTTGGCGGCGTCTATGGGAATACGCTTCAAAAGGCCTTTCTCCCTAAACTTTCGCAGTTCTTTTCTTCCTTGAAAAATCCAACACACGTGGCTTCCTCTAGCAACGTCGGATGAAGCACGGAAATGGATAACTCCAGGGAACAACCCCAGCTCCCTACTGTATGTATCGGACAGTTCACCGTTCCCCTCTCGGCGGACGGAATCCCCAGCTTGAATATGCCTCTTACAGTGGCACCTGTCGTCGCCCCACTCCCTGCTACACTCGGAGCGACGTTCACCGAAACTTCGGTCGTGCCCCCGGCGGCCAGCCCGAATCAAATGGAGGACTTGATGCAATGCATGCGGGCCATGCAGGCCCAAATGCAACAGTTCCAGCAACTTCAGCTCTATCAACAGCATATGCTACACCAGGTCTCCCAGTACCAGTATCAGCAGCAGTTTCCCCAGTTGCCTCAGCCTCAGCTTCAGCAATCACAGCTTCCCCCTCGGCACCTAGTCTCACAGCAAGCTGGGTCTCGCCGACAGGAGGAGCACCCGCCTCGCCGAGGAGAGTCCCCCAAGAACCCTCCAAGGAGCTAGGCCTCCACCCACGGCAGACAAGAAAGACCAGTCGCCCCGACCTCACCACGGGCAGTTAGGTTGGGAGGACCTCAGCTCGGCAGGCCCATGTCACCTCAACCCTTGAGGCCAAGTACCCCGTTCCTAGAAAACCGATTTGAAGCCTTAGCCGCAGGTTCCAAGCAAGAGCCCTCTGTCCGAAGTCATCACCAGCGGCCTGAGCTATTTCCTACACACACCATTCCTAACAGAACAGAAGCGAGCAGCACGAATGCCGAGCCCGCCAGAAAGTAGAGACGCCGCCGCCGAGCTCGCTGGTCTGCTACCCGCGACCTACCCGAACTCAGAGGCAAAGAAGAGGTAAGCTCGGGCGAGGTCAAAGCGCCCATTCTTTCAGTCCAATCCCCCCTATCCCCCGAGCTACTGGCAGTCCCAATGCCTAAAGATTTCAAGCTCCCCCCTCTTGATAAGTATGACGGGTCTTTCGACCCAAATGATCACATAGATGTCTTCCAGTCGCAGATGCACCTAGCAAGAGCAAGTGAGTCGTGCATGTGCATGGCCTTCTCCACCACCTTTAGGGGAGTATCCCACACATGGTATCGGAACCTGATGCCCGAATCAATAAGAAGTTGGGCGTAGTTCGCGCAGGCTTTCACGTCTCACTTTGTTACCAGTAAGCGGTGCCCGCGGACTGAAGAGAACCTCCTCAACATAGTGCAAAGAGAAGGAGAATCCATCCGGGGCTATGTTAAGCAGTTCAACGATGCTTTCTTGCAGATACCGCACCTGGACCCCGCCGTGCGCCTTACAGCAGCTAAGAAAGGCGTGACGCACAAGGAGATCAAATGGCACATGGACGTCAACCAACCAGCGACTATAACTGAATTTCTTAAGCTCGCGGACAAGTTCATAGCCACCGAGGAGGAGATCAACCAAAAGGGCGAGAGTGCGCCCGAAAAGAGGAAGAGGGAAGGAGAGACTTCCAGCCAAGGGGACAGCCGAAGGAAAAAGGATGCAGCTCGGGGGGCAAAGCCAGGACAGTCGTTCCGAGCTCCTGCGGTGGACCAAACCGATTACACCCCACTGAATACGAAGCGGGCCGAAATCCTAATGGCGATCAAGGACGTTCCGTATGTGAAGCGGCCACCCCGTCTGAGGGGGAATCCCAATGAAAGAAATAAGTTTGTATTGCAGTTTTCACAAAGATCACGGTCACAGTACCGAGAGTTGTAAAAACCTCTGCGACGAGATAGAGGAGCTCATCCGTCGTGGATATTTGAGAAACTTTGTACAAAATAATAATAACAATGGTAATAGAACAGGTTGGCAAGGGGAGCACGGTAAGGATGCTCCCGAGTCCAGCAGCAGGTCATCCGAACAACTGCAGAGGCAGCCTCCGAAGGAGAGGCTAGTTCGGGGGACCATCCACATGATATTGGGAGGTTCGGTCGTTGCGGGTGGCACTTCAACAGCAGCTCGGACGTCAATTCGTGAGGCTTCCCGGGAAGAGCAGAACCCCCCGAAGTGGCCGAAGACGGGAGACCCAATTTTCTTCACAGAAGACGATGCGCGAGGGGTCCACTATCCCCACAATGATGCACTCGTAATAAAGCTAAGAATCAACGACTTCGAGGTCAAGCGCGTACTCGTTGACTCAAGCAGCTCAACCGACATCCTTTTCAAAGTTGCGTTCGACCAGCTTCAGTTGTAGAGAAGCGACCTGAAGCCTACAGACACTTCTTTGGTGGGCTTCAGCGGAGAAGTCTGTCCCCTTGGGAAAATAACAGTACCTATAGAAGTCGGCGCATGGCCTTGTGTGGTCAGTTTCAAACACGACTTCCTGGTGGTCGTGACCCCCTCCCCCTACAATGTCATAATAGGTCGACCAATCACCCATGTCCTACGGGCAGTGGTCTCTACTTACCATTTGGCTATGAAGTTCTCAACAGACTTCGGTGTGGGGGT